GAGGTGGGGCCCTGGCGACAGGGGAGGAGGCGGGGCCCTGGCGACAGGGGAGGAGGCAGGGCCCAGCAACAGAGGAGGCAGGGCCTGCCAGCGACCACGGAGGCGGACAGTGAATCGGGGCGGACAGGTAAGAGGTGTGCAGCCCACCTGAGACCCTGCAGAGCCCACCATAGAGAGTATACAGCAGGATCACTCTCAGGTGGGCAGAACTAGAAATCAAAGGCCCCCATACAAAATTTCGCTATGGGGCCCTGTGATTTCTAGTTACGCCCCTAGTTCACAGCCGACAAATATAGGATTGGCTGACTACGACCGTCTTCATGTTTACAAAACAGTGACACGATGACAAAAACCTATCGGAGGTTCTAAGCTTTCCCTACTATGTTCAGATCCGTTTCCCTCAGACATATGGTAATGTAAGACTCTATAGTAACACTACTGTACACATCAAGCACCACACACACACTGTAAACATAATTTAATAAAAGATAAGTGCAACAAATCACAGCAACCAGAAATCACCATTCAATGTTCAGGCATCTGGCTGATTGCTGTGGACACACACACACATGCTCCTTGTTACAAGTCTATGTCTTAGTTAAAGGCCAGTAACACGTCCTCAACACGTTACCTCCAACCCCGTGGCAAGACGAGCTTGTACATACCAGATGCAGGGTAACAATAGACGTCTTTCTGTAAAATGGATACAGCTGCACAGGGAATGCCGTCATGCACACATGAATTATGAATAACGGCAATACTAACCCAACAATTTTAGTGAAATCCAACTCCATGTGAAGGGTGATATGACCTTCCCGTGAGATCCACAGCCCAGGAACACATGGTTGACAGCTGGGTAGAGGGAGCTCTGCTGTGGGGTGCTGGGTTAAAGTGTATGTAAACCCCAACACGTGACTTTCCTTACTTGCCCCCTTTTGCAATTAAAAGCGTTTTGTTACATCGCTTCAGTAAATGCAAAACCAGGATGCATGTCCATCAGGGGTGTCTGTGTCACAAGACTAGTCCATGAACCCAATCGCATTCCTGACCGCTTAATCCGAAATCGACTGGTGGGTGCAGTGGTAGTCAACAAATGGCAACATCACATTCAAAAGGTAGGGATGAGACACTGGGCACTCCGGCTGCAGATATAACGCATCTTTTATTGACGAGAACGCGGCTTATCGCACAAGTGCGACGTTTCAGGGTCACTCAGGACCCCGTTCCTCAGGCAAGGCATTACATGTCCTGCCTGAGGACAGGGATCCTCCTGCGTGACCCCGAAACGTTGCACTTGTGTGATAAGCCGCATTCACATCAATAAAAGATGCGTTATATCTGTGGTTGGAGTGCCCGTGTCCCATCCCTACCTTGTCAGAATGCAGAAGGGGTCCTAGCGCACTCGTTACTGGTATGCGCCTTGTGGTGGGTGCTGTAGTGACTGCGGACGGCGCCACTTAAGATCCAAAATAGTAAAGTATGCCACCAGCACACCGTGGTTCAATCTTCAAGCAGTGATCATTTTATTGATGCGCACACACACATCTTGTTACATTGCTGTGTGACAAGATGTGTGTGTGCGCATCAATAAAATGATCACTGCTTGAAGATTGAACCACGGTGTGCTGGTGGCATACTTTACTATTTTCATCTCTACCTTGTGTCACAAGACTGGCTGAACAGAATCACACAATTCTAGCAGTTAAATCAGCTCCAATTTATGTATTTAACGGTATTGAGCCGTCGGCTCCAACAGGAAACATAGGAGGTCCGATTTACTATCTATCCAGGAAACTATTGAGGAAAAAACAGTCTTTAGATCGCGGGCTCTTTGCTGCGCTTGCTGTCCTCTTACAGCAGACAAATATAGCAAGTGCTGACTGCGCCCCAATTCATTTTCATAAAAAGAAGTGTACACAGAGCTCCATAATCCATATTTAAATGTCTGCAATGAGAACTCTCTGTGCTGCCCTACAGCAACCACATTCAAAATGTCATTGTCCGGTTCTTATTGCTCAGGGCGGGATTGAACCCAATTGGTTGCTATCATTGTCCGGTTCTTATTGCTAAGGCGGGATGGAACCCAATTGGTTGCCATCATTGTCCGGTTCTTATTGCTCAGGGCAGGATTGAACCCAATTGGTTGCTATCATTGTCCGGTTCTTATTGCTCAGGGCGGGATGGAACCCAATTGGTTGATATGAGGCAATTGTTACCCCCAATCGGGTGAATGAGATTACATGTGATTAATGGAGACACGGAGGGGAATTTATCAAAACTGGGAGCGGACAAAAACTAGCTCCAGTTCTGATAAATTACCCCCCTGATGTTATAGAGTTGCCAGCTCAAGGGAAGATTTGCCCCCGCAGAGGACCCTGGATGTAAACCAATGTAAAAAACTGTACAAGAACATCTCCAAAATATTATCTTTTCACTTAATATTTGTTTTGTATTGAACGTTATTTCTCATTAAATACAAATATTTTGATATGTTTGCCACAACTGTATGGACAGCCAAGGGCTGACAGTTTTGTATGCAAAGTGGGCAACTTCCCCAGCTGCACCTTAATGGGGTAGCCAAACTCCAGCCTTCCAGTTGTTGTGGAACTACAAGTGCCATAGGCATTAAAAGACCCCGGACAGCCACAGGTATGGCTCCAAGAAGCAGATGCACGATGGGATTTGCAGTTTCACCACAGCTGGAGAGAAGAAGTGTGGCTACCCGTGTATTAAAGGCTGCGCTGAGCTGCTTTTTTTTGCACAGTATGTGTATGATGTATGATAGTAACAATTACTTTCCATGTGCCCTGTTCATATCATGGATGTACAGTGCAAAAAAACCCAGCTCAACGGTCATGGTGTGAAGGAGCCCTAGAGTAGATCTGTAAAGTTATCGACAAATCTACATTCCTGACACTATACTGCAATAGTAGCAGTTTGCAAAAATGTACATAATGAAAAAGCCATCCCTGAGCTCCAAAATCAGCAACTTTGGCTAGGCTGAGATAGTATTATCAGTCTGCTGCAAGCAAGCAAGACCTCAGTCTCCTTTCTCTCCCAGTGATCAGTCTTGGTGAGAGGCCGATCTGTGTCAGACATATGTGAAGACAGGCAGTGGCGTCACAAGGGGGGTGGCAACCGGGCGACACCAAAATCACTGGCATTTTGGTATCACACCCTCTGAAAAGTCGGGCACTCGGTCATGAACCGAGAGCCGACAGTTGCAGGAGAGAGGAGGGGCCCCGGCGGCCTACCTTATCCCGCCGGGTGAATGTCCCCTCCTCTCTCTACCAGCGTCCACCTCCAAGATGGCCGATGGCAGGTTTTACAAAGATGGCAGGTATTACAAAGATGGCCGCTCATACGTGGTGACGACATCGTGCACGCACGTGGTGACAGCACACGCATGCGCGATGACATCACGGCGGGGGTGTCACCCGGCCTCCGCTCCGGGTGACACCCGGCCTCGGGACACCCCTGTGCACAGGTACCAGAATTTACACGACTGCGTCATCAACAGGCACCTCAACCCCTAGAAGTAGATGCTGACCCTGGGTGATGTCCTAAAGGTGCTGTCCTTCTGGAAGGGAAAGGAGATAAATGCATTGTCAGGAGTACAGTGAGCTCTGTGATACCTGCAATTGCCAATGACACGTTACTGAGCATGCATGCACTGAACATAAAAACATATTGGCTGCTAGGACCTAACCAGAGGACACCGGCAATCATAGCGCTGCACAAAACATTATCGGCATGTATCAAACCCACAGCCGCACAGTGACACGAGCTACAAAAAGGTTTATTGTGCTTTAATAAAACAGGTCGTGCCATTCAGGTAACACTGCACACTTAAGGGCTCAGTTAATGTTCTAGAAGTAGAAGGCAAGTGCCCTGTAACAGCCTCCGGCTGAAAGAGGTTAGATTCAAGTAAGTCAGCATTAAGGCATAGCTAAGCAGTATGGAGAACACACACACAAGTCATTGTGCGTCTGGAGAGGGTGTGTGGCACACATATGCAGTCTTCCAGCTCTTCAGAAAGACACACTCTAGCATGCTGAAGGGCATGCTGGGATGTGTAGTCCCTGGACAGATGGGAGCACTGCAGGTGACAGATACATATGTACACAACATACTGCATAATTACATCATTCAACGGATGGAGGCAACTGTGGGCCACGGAGGCCAATGCGGCATGCTTGACCGTTCCTCTATGGCACGTGAGTCACAGGCTGCCTACCAACGAAAGGCTATGCGTATAACATGAAATTGGCAAATTCGAGCTCAACATTGGATCTTGTTCCCGTTTATGGAACGATTTTTTGTTACATTGTTCACAAGTCTCATGTCTATAGGCAGTAGGTGTATGGGCATTGAGCCCACATAGCCTGCCGCACAATACGTTTTACTTACTGGAATGGTAACACAAAGTTTGTTATGCACACGCAGAGCTGGGAGCCCCGTCCATGGGTACAGTGCCACAGCTGTGTGCAGTCTGACGGATGTCCCAAGTACTGGCTTGCACTGTGTGTGCATAATAACCTCGAAGATGGTTTCCTTTACCTGCTGCATGTGAAAGCAGAGCGGATCTACTAGAAAAGGGTTAGGCTACCTCGGCACTACAGCTGCTGTGGAACTACAAGTCCCATGAGGCTTCTCAAGGCTGTCAGCCACACAGAGGCAAAGGCATGATGGGATTTGTAGATTCACCCCAGCTATAACGCCAGGGTTGCCAACTCGTGTACTAGACTTCGATAAATCACTAACAGATAAACAAAACAGTTCTAAAGCCACAGTTTAGTAATGTCCAGCACGCTGGGGAATGTCTGTATGATACATTTGGCAAAATTATGCTACGGAAGGTCTAGCCATGAAATTGTACAAGTGAACAGGCCCATGTGCGTTTTGTCGCAGCAGCTGGAAGGCATGCCCTGCCTAGGGCTGGTCTTAGATCTGGTCAGCTCCTCGTGCAAATCCTGAGTCACAAATTCAGGGTTTACAATCCTAACACTATGAAACAAGCTTTCTATACTCCCAAACAGAGGAGGTCGTACCATGTAACAAGCAGAGCACGTCAGTCCAACAGTTAACGTCCGCAGGGGTTATAGGTGTCCACTACGTGGATGACTTCTGGGCCTCCCTGGTTTGGCGCTGTCCATACAGCCATTTTATTACCCTGGCGTTCCGCTCGATGATCGAGATCCCGTATGGAATCCGCGTGGAAGCCGGCGTCTCCTCTTGGGTGGCCGCGCTGACCTGAGAGTGGGCGTACTCCGAACTTTCAGCGCTGACACTGTGGAACTTGAGCGACACAATGTCGGAGCTGGCGCGGACAAAGTGCTCTGCTCCGATGTTAGAAACCTCGCCAGGGTCCAGTCCGCAGTAATTGAAGAAACGTTCGAGGTCGGCGCTGGCCCGAGAGTAGCGGTCACTCAAGTCCGACTTGGAACGGTGCAGGAGGGTTTGCTTTTTGCCCGCTTCACTTGGGGTGCCAGCGGGCGAACAGAGGGGGCTGTCAACGGGCGGACATGACTTTGCGGGGGTCTCGACTGAGGAGGTCACAAGGATATCTGGACACTTAACACGGGGTACTCCATCACCTGGTCGGACGTCCACTCTGCGCACTGCCATCGTGTTGGGAGTCCGGTGGCTGACTGGGGTGCATGGCGTGGAAGAATTTTGCGTCTTCTCCAGTTCCTGCCAGGGAACTTTGTCCGCCCGTGGGGATGTCAGTGGGCTGTCGCAGATATTAATGAGATTGTTAAGTATTTCCAGATTCAAGGAACTTTTAGGAGCTCTGTTCTCTCCCCGATGGGCAGCGGGTGAGCACCTGCGACTGGGCGTGAGCAGCACCCTCCGGACACCCGGAGAGAAAAGCGGCTGTCTGGACAGTGCTGGCCTCACGGGCTCTTGCTTGGTGCTGGCTACTTGCTTGCTCTTCACATACTTCGCCTTGTCGGCTTCCAGCCTCTCCACCGCGCTGGGCTTCCGGGCTCCATTCTCAGCTTGACGCCGAAAGTATTCGGGGCCTTTGTTCAGTATGCGGAAGGGCATCACCGCAGTGAGCGGGGCTCCCATCCCAGCAGATTGCAACGTGCCAACGGACATGGTCCCCTCTTGCAGTCTTCGGTCTCGACGCCTCGCTGCGGTGACAAGCGCTCTTCACATCACACGGCGTCCTGTCACTTCTTTCACGCCCCTGTGCAACGCAGAGAGAAAGATCAACGTGCTGGTAACGTTTACAAGTGTCTGCCGGTCTGACAGCATCGCACACACAAAGCCACAGGCTTCAGGATCTCACACACACACAGCTAGAGGCGGGGTCTCCCTTTACACTAAATGGACTGTTCTCCTCCCCCCTCCGGCTGCGCTCTTCCAATCCTTTCCACAATCACCTCTTCAAAAAAACCTGAAGCTCCCACCCACCCCGAGTGGCAGTTGCTGGCATCGGGATCACTAACCAGTATCACTCCCCCTCTCCCTCCTTTCCCTAGACATCTGTCCCTGAACTGCAACAAAATGCCTGGAAATTTCCATTTAGTTGCTGTTCCGGGACAAACAGAAAAGAAGGACGGATACAATGGGCATTTTCTGCTAGGTGACACTATAGAATAAATCAATCCCTCTAGTTATGACCGAGCCTGTTGGCTTTTATTCTTAAAAAAAAAAAAATATGCACAAGCTGGAACTTGCGAGGAAGCAAGATTTTTTAAAAAAACAGTGCATGCCGTGCATTTCATTAGCTGTTGCTGAATTCTGCTTAGCAGTGCTCCTCCTCACAAGATTCAGAAAATTCAGGGATATATCCATTAAAGAGCCCTAAACCTTTAATGGATCTATGCAAAACGGCAGGCACTCCCATTGTCATTGCCCACGCCGTGTAATTGTACAGTCAGGGGTCTCCGTGCTACAAATCGCATGTAAAGTGCCCTGCCTGTGGACCTCAATGGGTGACATTACCGGTCACCCATTAACTAGTGACCCACATTACTTTAAAAAAAAAAACCTCCCCTGGGAATGGGGGTTGGTGTAACAGCAGCTTCGGCAGCCCTCCTCCTATTGTAAGATAGCTAGGAATGAAGAGGGAGGGTGGTGGGGGAGCTGGCAATCCCCACACACCCCAATCACTCTGTGATGTTCACAATGACCTGTCCATCAGGGCTGACACCAACATGAAAGAAGGAGGAGGAGGAAGGGGGGGCACTGGGGAGAAAGGGCAGCTTATTTTAAATAATAGGCTATAGGATTAGAATAAAAAACAATGGATAACCTAACCCCCCTCCCTGGCATCAGCCTGTAATGTGCAGTACAAGCAATCCTGCAATATTTGAACAAGCTGAAGCAGCATGTCACCTGAGTTTACATACTTGCCATTCACTGCTGTCATGTATAACATTAAACCCAAAGCAAACTGGCTGCATTGTATCCTTACCCAACGTCAGTGACCGCCAGCACACAGAGGGGGGGTCAAGGTGCTCTCGCTCAGTCCTCTGCTCTGTCTACATGGACTTGTATCCTGATCACCTGGCCCTATGTATAACCCCGCCCCCAGAGCCAGCACACCTCTTCCTGTTTATGCAATGGTGTGACTGTTCCTAGGATTAACCCTTCATTACACCCATCAGGCTGGGAGGACGGAAGCAGTTGTCAGCAGCAACCAATAGAATTGCATTTGCAATTGCGATGCAGCTGCTGCATTTGAAAGTGGATGTTGATTGGCTGGCACGGGCAAACGCTCCAGATTGCTCTTTTTGTGTGTGTCCTGCTCCGCAGCGTCATTGTCCTCTGCGATCCGTGGCATGGATGCAAATCACCCTGTCCCTCTTTCCTTCTTGTAAGCATGGCGTATAAATAAAAATGTGTGCTGAAGAGGTGCGATAGGACCCCATTTAAGGTTGCCATATACTGTGCAAACATTCGCTGTCGGCACCCTTTTGCGGGGCATCCCTCAGTCAGCTGATCGAAGGAGCTGGTCGGAAAATCTTCGTACAAACAGAGCTGGCAGCCAATGAGCTGCTGGCTCTGTTCAGGTTTTCAGCATACAAAAGAAACAGAGGGGATTTCTCGAATCCCCACGCTCGTAGCATTGATGGAGGAATCTGCTCTATTTGTTTTGTTCAGTCTGCGGCTTGAATTAAAAAATAAAGCAGTGTATGGCCAACATTACACTTAGCTCCCATTCGCACCTAAGCGATTTGTCGTGCGTTTCCCAATGCACGACAAGCACCAACATGAAGATTCCCATTAGACCCCATTTACACTGAGCGACATGGAGAATTTCGTGCTGAGAGGCATTGAGCTACATTGCGTGACAATGCACATTTTGTGCAACCTTTGGGAGGGACTTCGTCGCTGCTACATTCGGCTGTAACCAATCAACAGCGGTCTTGATGACATCATTCTTTCCGTCCATATTGCTGTGCAAAAGTGACCCTTCTGTAGCGCGACAAAGTCACGCAATATCGCCGGTAATGCGCGACTTTGAGCTACACCATCGAGTCTATTGGGGCAAAATCGCGCGACATCCGCCAAAAAATAGGTCATGTTTGAGCTACAAGCTTGAGCTACAGGCGACATTGAGCTGTGAGATATGAACAGTTCCATTGAAATACATTGGATGAGCTACATAGAGCGACATTGCATGGAAATATGCATGATTTTGGCACGGAAATTGCGTGATAAACCGCTCAGTGTGAACGGAGTGTTATATATAACGTTGGCTGTTCACACCTGAGCGTCGTGCTTCTGCTTGACTTGGCAGAATTGTGTGTTTTTGCTGCTGTAGACTTCAATAGGAGCACCTCGAAATGCTCACCAGCGGTTTAGGGTATTTTTTTTGCATGTTTTTGCGCCAGCAACTGTTCTCCTCCTAGCTACTTCAGGCAACAAAATGGAGGTTTCATAAGTGTCAGTGCTGAAAGTGGAGAATTTCATCTGTCTGGTGCGGGCCCACAAGAACCTCTACAACTCCAGTGATGCCCATTACAAGAACCACAGCAGAGGACCTGGGAAGAAATTGGGTGTAAAGTCTTGCTGGACTGGGCACTCCGATAACACAAGACACCACACAGATAAACCCAGAAGCAGATACAAGGGCGACGGCATATATCACAGATCATACTGCATTCAATTGGGCAAAATAAAAACACCTGAAGCATGAAAACACATTAAAAAACACTTGTAAAATGTGTGTATGCAAAAAATGTTCATTAATAAATTGCCTGAAATTGCTCAGACATCCAGTAAATGTGTTTTTGATGCATCTTTTAGGTTGTAAGCCCTCAGGGGCAGGGCCCTCCTTACCATGTTGTCTTGATTTGTATTATAACTGTAATGTCTTCCTTGTATTGTAAAGCGCTGCGCAAACTGTTGGCGCTATATAAATCCTGTATAATAATAATGTTACTGTACAGATTGATGTGAGTTTTAATTGTACAAAAACCTTACTTTACTTTTCTTTTCTACTGAATCATAGTTCTCAGCCGTGCATGGTATAGAGGAAATCCTCATGCCCCTGTGTTCTATGCATCTGTCCCTTTTTTTAAAGGAGAACTATGAGGTGAGTGATTTCCACTCACCTCATAGTTCTAGCCGACCTGTGACAATGAGACTGTCACAGGTCGGCTCAGTAGATCGGGAGGTAAGCGCACACATACCGGGTTCGCTCACCTCTCGATCCTGTCACGGCTCTCTGTCGTGACAGGGGGAGGGGCTGGATTCCCCTCTCCCCGCTCCGATCTGCCAGCGCTGACTGGCGGAACGGACGGGGGAGGGAGCGGGTACAGCTGGCTCTGCCTCTAGATAGGCAGAGTCAGCTGTCACTCACGCAGCTGGGCTGTAGCTCGCGGTATACTGAGCTTAGGGTAACGGGAGGACGCTAGTTTGTGTCCTCCCGTTACCCTACGGAGAACTATGGGGAAAAACACTGACCCCATAGTTCTCCTTTAAGTATGTGTATAAATACAAATGTCTGAACCAAGTCAGTGATGCACAGGTATGGAGACCGTTTGACCAGTATGAAATTAGGGTGACTAGGAATTTTAGGAAGGTAATGAATGGCAGCTTACATTTTTTAAGCTTTTTTTCTTAATTTTGGAGAGTGTAGGGAAGAGTTAAAATTTCTGTGAACCCATTGGGGAGATCTTTCCTCACTTCCTGTCCATGCAAGAAATGGGGGAGCAGTTGTCACTGGGACAGAAGAGCAAAGAAAAAAAAAACATACCCCATAACCTTCCCAACTCTGCTAGAAAAGAGTTTTTGGGGAGACTTCCTTTCACTTCCTGTCTGCGTAGGAAGTGATAGGAAGTCTTCCAAATAGGGTCGTGCAGTGCAGAAAAATTCCGACAGTGGCTATAACCCTTCCCTGCTTCATCCAAAACAAAATAAAACAGTTTGGGTTTGATCTGAGCGTTAAAAGGCGTGAATTGACTTTTCCATACAGACATTAATATATACACGCACGCATACATACATGAATGGATTTTTACACGCATACATACATAAATAATATAATGTGCATGCAGTAAATTCAAATGATCCGTGCAATAAAACCTTTTCCTAATGCATAATGAAAACATCTCCTACATTATGCGTCAGTGAACTGACTGCACTGTTCTCCCCGCCATGTGAAATGGCAGAAGTATGGCTGGAAATGGGATGATTGGGCGCTTCTTGTTAAAAATATTATCACTGTAAAAAGTCCCTCTCTTCCCATCTTAGAAAACTGATAGGTGCGGCAGAACCCAAAGTGATGCTTCTTCAAGCAAAAATAATCAGGGCTTTATTTATACAAGTTCCACCTGTTTGCATGGCACTAGTCCCCCTACTCAGCTACAGCTTGGGGCACTATTGCGGAGGGAACGACACCCACCTGGCTATATGCCAGGCCGAACTTTTATAAATAAATCCCTTAATGTAAGCATGAGTATTTGTTTGCGGGTTATCTGAGCACATTTGGTTGGTATCTATCCAACCGCAAGCTAAAATGTGTAAACCTTATGACAAAGCTGATGTAATAAAGCAGCGTAGTGCAATAATGACGTTGAAAAAGCAATTCATTATTTAATTGGTTTGTTTAATATTTCTGTTACACCGTGCTGAAAAAAAATCTAAATGTGCTTGATGCGGTAAGGGATTAATCGACAACTATCCACAGTCAGAGGAACGGTCTACTTGCTGCAGTTACGCGCAGTGTAGTGCTTACCTAAACCCTTGGCTGCAGCAGTGGCACGAAGGAATCTGCTATCCGGGGCTCTCTTCGTCCAGACCCCTTCTGTGACATTTTTGGATGTTCCTTTTTTGATGGACCTTGATGGACTTGTGTCTCTTTTCAACCTGACTAACTATGTGACATCAGAACTATACCTCAAAGGCAGCCTGGCAAATCATAAGCAAAGCTTGTTTTGATCTTTACACTGTATGTAAGAATGGAGCAAGCACAAGAAGCAAAAACCATTGCACCATTCGGGCAGTGCCAATGCCACAGCCAAGGGTTAGGTAAGTACTAAAGTAGCCTCAGTCCTTAATAGGACTTAATAGGACTAATAGAAACAAAAATTCCTTCAAAAACGGTCTTTTCCTTTTAAAATGTAGGCAAACCCTAACAAAGAACTTCTCTCATTTGCTAAATTCTGGTCTGTTAAATATATAATTGAAAGTGTTTTGTTATAACTGTTGAAAGTGGAATTAAACATCACGGGTCCCCCGGGAGATTTTGTCGTAATGTGCAATTATATACAGTGGGGGAGATTTATCAAAACTGGAGCAGACAAAATCTGGAGCCTATGGCAGCCAATCAGCTTCTCTCTTCAGTCTGTTCAGTTAAGCTTTGAAAATGAAAGGTGGATGCTGATTGGTTGCCGTGCACAACTGCTCCAGATTTTGTCTACTCCAGTATTGATAAATTCCCCTCAGTGTATTTGGACATTATGCCCCCGTTACCTTGTAAAGTGCCCCCATCCAGAACGGTGACATCTGTGCTTTACCTTGTCACTTTGTTGTTGATGCTCTTATGTCTTCTGCCCCCTAGATTGGCTGGTCTGGGATGAGCTAACTTCTGCACAGACGCATGGGAGTTCATGACCGCTCATACCCACGGGAGTTCATGACCACTCATACCCACGGGAGTTCATGGCCGCTCATACCCACGGGAGTTCATGACCGCTCATACCCACGGGAGTTCATGACCGCTCATACCCACGGGAGTTCATGACCGCTCATACCCACGGGAGTTCATGACCGCTCATACCCACGGGAGTTCATGACAGCTCATACACACGGGAGTTTGTGACCGCTCATATCCACGGGAGTTCATGACCGCTCATACACATTGGAGTTCATGACCGCTAATACCCACAGGAGTTCATGACCCCTAATACCCACAGGAATTCATGACCGCTCATACCCACGGGAGTTCATGACCGCTCATACCCATTGGAGTTCATGAACGCTAATACCCACAGGAGTTCATGACCGCTCATACCCACGGGAGTTCATGACAGCTCATACCCACGGGAGTTCAACCCACCACCCAGCACTTACCAGGATTGGACACTGAGATGCGC